CAGCAACTTTCCCGAGCACACGCAGTAGTACCTGATACGAAACTTGCCACCGAAATGCGACCATGTCAGCGAAGCTCTTTGAACTATTGAACCACTCGCATTGTTACTGGTGGTAGGGCTGGCCAAATATACATTAAAAATATTGCCACAAGTGTTATTTTGCTGGGTTTGGTTTAAACACAAACACTCTGAGAAATGCGCTAAACAAATCGTGTTTCAGTGTTCAACAAGCTTCTCGTTTATAGTAGATTACTTTGTTAAGGTTGCACATAGGACATGAATACTCTAGATTATTCCAGAGCTTATGCGACCACCAGTGGTAAGGCTTAAATGTCCTTTACGTGATGTATAAAAGAGAGCACGCCTCAACGATGTTCAGATGATCGACAGCAGACGCTCTGTTCGCCACTATCAGTGCCAGTGTGTAATGCTATGATCTGACTTTTCGTTCACCTTCACAAGCTCGACCAAATATAGTAGACTCTCATAAAAAGGAAATTTCTTAAACAGAACTGCTGCTCAAATGGAACAGCCTTGTTCATCTCTCAGTAAATCGAACTCTTGTTAAACGGAACATATTTTTCTGGTCCCTTCAGGTTGTGTTTAATGAGAGTCTAATGCAAGCAGTTTCATCTTGGACCTATAGTCTACTCCCATTGTCCACGTCACAACCCCGTGACATCTGGTAGAGGTGCTGCTTTGTAGTCTGCTCCCTTTGTCCACGTCACAATCTCGTGACATCTGGTGGAGGTGCTGCTTCTTCAGGATGCCCCCGTTTATCCGTGAACCCAGTTAAAGTGCCAAAGAAAACACCGACGCAAACCCCAAGCAGCAGAGCAAGGTCTACCGTCAGATTTTGGGGCTTTACCTGAAAATTGGGTGGCGTCCGTGCTTTTCGAAGATAAAAGTGCATTTCGTTCTTTCCCGTAAAACAGTTGCGAGTTTGTGCCTGTGGTGTACATTTCTATGTATTTGTATGTGTTGCAGAGCCAGTCATGAGTCAGTAGTACTAATTCGCCCAATTGTAGGTACTGCTGTGATGGCCAGCAGTAGCGGGAAGTGCGTTTTGGGCAAGAGGGTGGGCAACGGGTGCCCAAAAATGCTATTGTAGTGCAGCAGTGAATTCGTAGTATTAAGATGAATGCAAGAAATTGTCACGCCGAAATTGGGAAAAAGGTGTATTGGGGGGGGGGGGGGGGGGGCTGATGAAAGGGACTTCACTCTTCCACATAGCACGAAACTGGCTGTAATGTGCAGTGTACAAAAAGATAAAAAACAGTGTCCATGCATGAAAGGTAAAACAACAGCCCACTCGGAGACGAACACGGATGATTGGTATACTGTTAAAGGTACAAACGGTTCAAACTAGATGAGACTAATGAAGAAACACACAGGACGAGCATCGACTAACGGTGATTGCTTTATCCCTTCAATGCAATGTAAAGGAAAAAAGTCGCAGCTTTGCCGCAAAGGCGAAGCAATGAACACGATGGCAACAAATTGGAAGGTCACGTGTAAAATAAGCAGATTGAAACGTGCCCTGCATTTCTCACGCAGAAATGACACACGAAACGTACTCACAGGTACGGATGCACGCTTATGCTGAACGTCATCAGAATAAGCTTCTTTCTCAGTTGTTACGTCGCTCTGTATGAAAAGCGTGCTCTTTTCGCGATGATTGCAGTGATCTTTGTGCGCCCGATAACTACAGCATAATTGTGCCAGGTAAAGCCCGAGGCCAGCCAAGACGTATAATCCTCCCCCCTGCCCATCGCGAGATAAGGGAGCGCAAGCATAGAGTTAAGGATGCACGAGGGAGCGTCGCGCCCCTTTCCTAAGCATTGAGAAGTACACGTGGGAGATCAGAGCGAGCTTCGCCGCTTGATGTGACGACGCGCGCTCATTGCGCCATCTTGCTGGTAATGCTGAAAACACCATTCCCCGCAAGATGCCCGTCAGCAGTGGTGTGTGGTAGATACAAGTAACTTGCCGTTTGAACGGTGAAGGACGTGCGCCTCCGTGGCTTAGTGGTTAACGCCTTGCTTTCAGAACGCTGAGGTCCCACGTTCGATTCAGCGCGCCGGAGTCTTTCTGGGTTTTATTCTTTCTTGCATTTTCATATATATAGATACGTATACATATATGGTGAGTGACAATGACGCCGACACTGGCGGCAAAATTCAGCTGAGAGTGCCCATATAATTGCTATTCCAATAAAAGTGTGGTTCAACAAGGCACGTGCATTTTCAAACCAATCGTCACGGCACAATTTGTGGAAACTGTTAGTCCTCAAGATCACAATTTCGAGAGTGCACCTAGGCACATGATAGATGGTTGATCTCTTCTTTGCTTAGTGGTGTCGCCCCTTAGTTCAATCGCGAAAGCCTCGGCTATCAGGCGACTGTGCACACTTGGGTATTTTCCTACGACTGTCGGCATGCACCCGCACAGGCTGCAATGGAGTGCCATGTTGCTGTTTTGCTTTAGATGATGATTGCTAAATTTTTCACCAAGTTGCTGATTAAGACAATGGCCAGTTTGTCCAATGAATATCTTTTTGCAGGAGTGCGGGGCTTCATAGACGATGTTGGCTGAGAATTCTACAAATGGTCTTTTGTGTTTCGTTGTATACCAAGCCTTCTTGGGCCCTTCCTGCTTGACGAGTCTACATATCTAGCTTATTGGGAGTGCTAAAAAGTACTTCTTAGTCTGATTTTTGGGCAATATTATTGATACTTTTCTTGATCACGTTCTTCCTGGAACGGCTTTCAGAGTGTTTGTTGTTGCTTGCGTGCCAGGCCAAACAGTAAATTCTTGAGGGTAACCCGTGGTACGCAGGCTAGTCACCTGCTCGACTGCACCTTGTGATGGCATGACTGGCTGAGGGCATTTGTCAGAGTGGTGATGGCAACAGCCCGCTTGGCGAGTTTTGTGTGGCTTGACGTGACAGGGAGGAGTTCCTTTACAGAATTGGGTAAATAGCTTCAACGAACGTGGTTGTCAAAGAAGGATATGTTAATGTTCAAAAATTTGGGTTGCCATTGGTTACTGAACTTGGTCGTCATGGTGAAATTGGAGACCCTGATTTGCAGGGTGAGCTTCGCTTTGCTTGAAGATGATCAAAAAGTCGTCGACGTACCTGAAGACTTTCCAGACGCATGAGCTTACATGTCTTTTTTTAGGGCGAAAACACACAAAGAAGGCTACCCTCTAAGGGTTATCTCTGAAAAAGCCACTTGGCAACTCTCCCTTGGCGTTTTCCTGAATAGGATGCTTCACAACCTCAGCATCAACGATCTCTGCTTACTCCGAAAGCCTAACGACGTGTTATTTATTTCTACAAGACCAAGTCGAGAACGACCTTTATGGTTTCTCAATCAACCTGAAAGACCCATACAGCTCTTTCCCCCATCAAAAGCTATGCTGTGCTGTGAGGGAAGCCATCAATGCAACGGGAAGCATCGCTTTCCAGAACGCCGCTGGTGTCAGCGTCGACAATTTCATTGACCTACTGATGCTCTACTTTCTGTCAACTTTCATCACCTTCGGCTATGAAGTTTTGCTGCAGAAGAAAGGTATCTGTATAGGGTTGCGCTTCTCATGGCCTTTATCATTGTTCATCATTTTTACTTTCTTTCGTTTGGGACTGTGCAACTATATGTTGCACAGTGTTAATTATAAACTGTTGTAAGTTGGTGCTGTTGTTTGTGTCCTCCTCTTTTTTTGTGCTCAGTCTTGCATGTTGTTTTTGTGTCCACCATTTGTGACATGTCTCCCAGTTTTGTTTTATGCTGAAATTGCAAGGCTGGTATATGGGAGATGACCAGAAAGCTAATGCCATAATAATGTGGCATTCATCAGTACTAGATCCATGAGGTAGAGAGCAGATGTGATGGCTGCCCGAAGGATATTAAACTAATGAATGACACGAGCAAAGAGCAACAGTTAAGAATGCACATCTTTTTTCTGTGTTTGCGCTTGTCGACGCAAAACCTGTAGGGTAGCACGGCAAAGGTCAGTAGTTCAGTCAGTGGTCTGTGGCAGAAAAATACCACAAAGAGCGAAGAATGTACAGATCGATTTATCCTTTTTGTCCAAATATTTTCGAAAATGACAATGTTTTAATGTATTAAAAAACTCTTGACCACATCGAGCCACTATAACAGGAACACTTGATAAATCGAACAGTGCAATATGCCCCAAGAAGCTAATTCAGGTACTTACATGTGTGTGAGATTTGGAAGGTGCCGTGCAGTGCAATTAGCCATCGCGTTCTTTCTTCCACAATGCACTCTATTGGCGCAATGGCTTTCCAAAACTGCTGATAATCAACCCACTTGAATGTAGAAAAGAATTCTGACACAGCTGCGTAGAGTATCCCAAGGACGATGCTGAATGGGATATTCAAAAACAGTACTGGGGCCAAGGCAGTCATCCGTGGCCCGACGAGGACGAACAGCTGCCTATGAAAATGTTTACATCGGTACGATATTTTTTTTACCTACTACCCGCTCCTGCACATATATTTCATTCCCAACTAAGAACTGCAAAAAATTAAAGCCTGCTAAAAAAAATTGGGCATAAAGCTATGAACCACCTTCCATGCATTATCGTTGAGCAATGCCGTGAAGCCAATTTGTGCATCGACCAGTAGTGTGGTAGATTCTTTAAAGGTAGTATATTGAATTATACGATGTATTGAACTGATATTTCTTTTTTACCAAGTTATGCGGGTTCTATCGGGAAGTATAAAAAGCAGAGTATTGCAGAGAGGTAACCAATGACTTCCATCCGGTAGCTTTGAGTGAGAGGAAGCATGTGGGAAGACACAAGGCAGGGAGTGGAGTCTGATGAAGTGTAATGAGTGTTTTGCGCCAGAGGTCATTCTTCTATTGTCTATGTTAATATGTAATGCCGTTTTTGAAATCTGGACATTTAATTGGCGTAAAAACTTACAGGCCGTCCTGTCATCAAGCTTACATTGTTTTCAACTTGTGCAGGACCTTGGTAGGCTGGGCCGGGATCTGCGCAGAGTGGTCATAATAGACAACTCACCGGCCTCGTACATCTTCCATCCTGACAATGCAGTGAGTATTTGCATGTATCATTGCTCATGGTAGCGATGGTTGTTCCATCTGGGAGACACCACCTATGAGTTAGCAGCCCTGTCTCTTGGTCCTTTGAGGTTGTGTGGAAACGTCTCACTAGGAGCTGAGAATGCCACTTTTTTGGTGGGTCACTATATGAAGCTTTCAGCTTGCACCGTCTCTTATACATGGCTGAGCATGTAAGCAATCCCTTTTGGCACACCCACGCACCTAGTGCTGGATTTTTTTTCAAGTTCCAGAGACCCATTGAAGCAATGTTAGCTGTGGGGACAGTCGGCATTATCAATCTGCTTGTCTATGTGCATCACAAGTGAACTACATAAGAGATTGCTTGATGTATTCAAACACAAGTTGAACAAGTCCATTAGTTGGAACCCAGGAACATTCCTCATTGAATGTATTGTCATGACATGGTCTGCTTGTGTAATACATAGTGCTTCGTCTTTTAGATGAATCCGTCTTATTTTTTCTTTCAAGGTAAGTTAGGAAGGGTAGACCAGTTGATATTTGGCAGCATATAAGTGCGAAAGTAGACAGGAGAAACACAGATTGTTAGTTGTTTTACTGCCACTCCTCTATCAAACAATTCCCAATCGGTACTCCTACCAAAGGGCAAGAGCTCATGTGAATGCAAAAGCTCAATTAGCACATGATCTCTTCACATGCCTGTACAATGAAATTTTAGCAGGTGATGGCTTGTTTCGGCCGAGTGCTTATGCCGCCCAATATAAATACAAGTGCATGGGTGACCAAACACTAAGCATTAATGTCCCGCCAGGGAGAGGAAAGGTTGAAGCTGGAATTGGCGACAAGAGAAGCTGCCAGTTGAATCTCATTCATCATTCCTTCAGTAACATAAGCTTCACCTGGGTAGGGTGACAAAACCAGTGACTCTTCAAATAGCTCGTAAGCAAGCGGTGACAGGCCTTGCACGCAGAGCGATGTTATCGTTTGTACCTTTCACGCGACGGTGATCGCCCGGTCGTTTCTTCACTGCTTCAGCCGTGTTCGTCCCCATTCCTAGGGCGCATTGACTCGCACGTAAAACAGACGATGTGTAAGTGATGTTATCGGTTCGGACTCTGTACAGATCAGCGGCGAACTGCGAAATTCCGCTGACAGTGTTCGTATAATTGCGATCGCAATACCCCCCACGGTCGACATATTGATAATGTATATCCCCCTGCGGGGGGGGGGGGGGGGGCGAGACATATTTTATGCCTCCCCCCATTGAGTAGATCTCCCGCATTCTGCTTCTCAAACTTGGCAATTATGCTCTTGTGTAAATGAGTGCCATTAGAAGTCAAAGTATACCACAATGCTTCATGCTGCCCTTCTGTTCAAGATATTCCGTGATAAGATGGAGCAACCAGGGTTAAAACAGGTAGATTTCCATGTGACGTTGCAATGTATTTTCTGTGGGCAAAGGCTGTGGAAGTTCGTTTAAAAGGCCTTTAAACCATCTCCAATATATTTAAGAAACAATCCCTTCTCTCCAGGCATTTCAGCCTCCCCAGTGACGTGTGTGCCGTCAAACATGTTGCATCTGTGATGCAGTCTGCAAGTCATGCTGCGATTGGTCGAACCTGTGACTTTCGGTTACTATGCAAGCAACTGCGAGCACTGTCTGCTGTTCTTTACGCTTGCAAATTGCTAGCGTACAAACGCAGTCGCGCCTAGCGGTCTGATAAGCTGCATGAACTAAGCCCAAGTGTTTTTCAATCGCTGACATGCATGAGTGTGGGGTACAGAGTGTCTCCCATCATGTTGCCAATTTTTGAAGGCATGTGTGCAACGCAGGATCCATTCGTAAAAGCACAGGCCAGCATGACAACAGCAGCAGTTATCCAAAAATCACGGAGTCAAAGGAGTCATGCAAATCCGAACGTAGTACACACTTCTTCAAAGAGCACATCAGCGGTGATGGTACGTCACGTGTGAGTGGGAGGGGCACTTGGCAAGGAGGGCAAAGCAGCTTTGGATGGGCAGACCAGCTGATGAGCTGTGGGTGTCTAAAGAAAAAGCAGAATGAGTGGTCTCTGCCTTTCGATCATCAGATGTGTATAACTCCTCTATCAGGGCATCGTTTCGAAAATTTGTCATGGCTATGGATTTGTTATAGACAGCAACACCAAAACTAAATTTTGAACTCTGGGAAGTTTAGGGGTCCTTTGAAGCTTCAAAGCCTCTAACTCATCATTTAATCCTCAGTCTTCTTGCACCGTTTAGTTCTCCTCATGGTAGGTTTCTGCAGAAACTTCACTTGGTCTTCAAGAACTTCTTCAACGTGGCAACAAGGCAATGGTTTGAAGCAACTGCTTGGCGCCTTTGTTTAGCCTTAAGTTGAAGTTCCAGCTGCCTGATCTGTATGTGTTACTGTAGAAAAAAAGATGTCAGGTGCATAAACATATGTCGGCAACTGCAGTAGCACAACAGCATTGACTACTTTACTTCTGCTTGTTTACCGGACGTTCTATGGATAATTGATTCTAGAATTGCAAAATATCGTAATACAACAGAAAGTGTAACAAACATTTTCGTGCACTGCACTGAAGAAGTTGACTTCAGCCTCCATGCTGTTTGTGGGCTCGGCAAAAATAGGGCACACGTAACAGCATCATGTACATGCCTTCTAACTGTAACTCGCTTGTCATTGCCGTCTTGTTCTTGATGCAGCCTCTGTAGTAGGAAAAACTGAGTGCGAAACTGCAAAGCAAAATGACCACCACAGCACACAGCTATGAAATGTTACCGAGAAAACACAATACTACCTTCCCTGTGAAGTTGCTCATGCAACTGGTGCACCTTTAATTTATAACTCACCTGTTATTACCATCTTGTCACTGAATTTCTGGAGCAGGCTGTATGGTAGACAAAGTTGTGTAGGAAGCAAGATCGCAGTCATTCTACACTGTTATCAGATCCAGTGTTAAAATACATGAAAGTGCCTTCTTTATTCACTTACCTGCGCTAGAGGTATGTTTCTACTGCTATCTACAGATGATTAGCCATAAACAATCAGAATACCGTCATATTCAAATCAATATAGGCCTGACAGGTTTATAATGGGTTGGCCTTTAAACCATCCACTCATTGCACAATTCACATAGTGTGATGCCTGGTGCAATTCTCCGCTTGTGCTAAGCAATGTAACGTGTTTTGCGTTGCATCCACCCTGATTTTAACGCCTACAAATAACGAAGCTGACTCCAAGTTTTTCCGAAGCGAGTTCTTCAAAGGGCCAGTAGTAAACAGGCTTCTTTTTTTTTATACGCCCGCAAACAAGTCAGACCTCACTGATCACATTTTCCAAATATTGCAGCGCACCGTGCAGACCCTCTATTTCGAAAAAGAATTTCCCGTAATCGTCACACCTGTTGACTTTTTTTGATATTTTGCAAGTCCGGTCTTTTATTGTTCAAGGGCATTAATACTCACAGTTTAACCCATCTACTCCTGCTTATGGCTTGAAAATTCAGGTCTGTACAAGGAGTATGTAAAATAAAAGTACTGTTACAATAGACTTGTACGTAAACACTCAAGTGCTGTTAAATTTTTTAGGTTTCGAAAGTTAGGTTTCGAAAGTTATTGCGGAAGTCACAAAAAAGAACTGCATTTTTAAAAAAATTATATCTCCTAAATGGCACAACCATCGAAAACTGTGCTTAGTGACGTTCTCACACTGTTCTGTGTTCGCGGGACGTGATGCTGTGCTTAGTGACGTTCTCACACTGTTCTGTGTTCGCGGGACGTGATGTAGTAAAGGAAACTGCAGATGGAAGTGCAGTTATTAGGTTACGGAAGCGCCGAACTCGTTCCGAACATCACACAAACGCGTCTCGGGCCCTCTGTAATAGCGTCTCGTTGAACCCACTGCTTATCAGCACTCGGACCTTTAGACGAAAACCATAGAGAAACATAGAAATTAAGAGTGGTCACTCTGGCCAAAAGCGGCGGCTTCACGCGGGCCGTAAGATGGCAACACATCACTCACTGCTTTCAAGGGAGCCCACATACTAATTACCTAGTACAGTACCTTTTCTAGTGCATTGTACGTCTACGTGTCTTTGCGACTGCAATTGGGGATTTCTTATCCGTCTTTATCACCTCACGTGCACATCATACAAATAAAGAACCAATTTAGACAAGGGAAACTGTAGCCTTGACAACAGTGCGCAAGGGAAGCAGTGGTAGCGCATGGAACTGCTGAAGGCATGCAAGGGATGACGTGTAAACTGGAAGCGGATAACAAAATTTCTTTTTTGTTTGTTTGTTTAGGTAGAAAAAATAAAACAAATGGCCATCCTTTCAATTTCTAACAGAGTGCGTAGGCGCACACGCGGTTGCCTCAGCTCGTTCTTTATTCTATGGCTATCCTTTGTTAAACAGAAGTGTATTACAGAGACCGGGACTCCTATAGGGCTATAAGTGTCTTATCTTTCGCCCGCTTGTTTTAAGCGCGTTCATACGCCTAGCAGCACGCCACAGCGTCCTTCAGAACACAGTACTAGGGTGTAGAAAGTGTGGGAAACCCCCGATAAGCACCACATCACTCTTGCTCGTTTTCACACAAGCAGTGATAAGAATCAGCGGTGAGAGTCTGTGCTCATGCATCTGTATGCGGAGAAGCTTTATAAGCGGACACAACGAGCGGCCAAGGGGAGTTGCCGGTGAACTGCCGTGCTGTGCACGTATGTGCAGGGAATGTGGTTCGAAGGGGCCAGGGTTAACGGCGCCGGCGAGGAAGTGTTCGCAGAAGTTTGAGTGTATGTAGTTACATTGTACTAACCATTTTAAAGCTTCAGTAGCAAATTGTTTGAGTTACCCCGAAGTGGACGAATGGCCCGGTTCGTTAGTGTGGATGATGAGCCCCACAAAAGGTTACATGGAACTGAAAAGGATTCGTTGGCAGCTGGCACCAGTAAAAAGAATTCACGATGGAGTACGGTGAACAGTATTATTTATTGGCAGCAAACCAG